GCAAGCAAGCAAGCAAGCATGCAAGCAAGCAAGCAAACAAGCAAGCAAGCAAGCAAGCAAGCCAGCATGCAAGCAAGCAAGCAAGCAGGCATGCAAGCAAGCAAGCATGCAAGCAAGCAAGCAAGCTACCTATCCCCCATGGACTTTTGTAAGGGATGGGCTATATTCTTACAGAATCAGGATGAATGCAAGAAAATACATAAAACTTGACTCCTGTTATCAGTGCCACTTAGTCTTGAACGACTGATAAGGGACCCGGCCAGGAAAATCATAACAGAAAGTGTCATCGTTTATAGGCTGAAGTCTTGGAAACACATTAGCCCCTCCTAAGGATGGGAATTTACGCTTAATTTGAAAAACGTTTGGAAGACTTCCCCATACTGTGTAAATGTGTAAACAACCCACCCTTACCATGGTGTCATTGAAAACTTCGGACACAACAAATTATATACAATATAAACGGTTGATTTAAATTTCCGGTGATTAATTCATGGTATTCCTTTGATATGACTGAGCAGTTAAGTGATCTGAAAATAAGATTACATTTTAAAGGCATTGTTTACAATAAAAATGAACGTCATACCTGTAAAAGGGACACTTCCATTTAAACATTGGGGAAAATCTGTAAACGGATTTGGAACTTTTTTTGCTTAAACGTTTAACCATGTAAAACATCCTTAGTACCTCCCCATTATGTTATCTAATCTGTTGTCCTTGTACTAGTAACCGATTATAGTGAATGTGACATAAAGCCCATCAGGAAGTCAAGTTTTCAACGCGAACCTGTCTTTAGCAGACAGAGCCAGATCGGCCAGCAGGGCCGTGTGGTGCAAATCGACGGCCGTCAGGAACCCGTCGTACAGGCACAGGACCACGGCAAACTGGAGCCCCGGGAATGACCACACGAACCAGAACAGCATGAAGGAGAGGGCGAAGAGAGGCCCATTGACCGTGAGCGCCCACAACCGTTTGGTCACCAGTTCTGGCTGGGCACCGAATCTACTGCTTGCTCTGAAAACAAAAGTTGACATTTTCCTCTAAACATCAATATTTAACGCATGAAGTCAACAAAAGGAAAATTAAGTGGCGTTGAGGGATTGACAAAAATACTTTTTAAAATCACAAAAATCTATACAGGCCTTCTTGTGGATTACAAAATTCATTCAACAATAGAGAAATCATACATAGTCCATCCTGCTTAAGTAGGTTATTCGTTTCAATTATTATAATTATAATTATGATTAGTGATTAACGTGTTTGTCCTTCCTAATTTTTTTGATGTACTTTTAATGTATTTGACATGAATTTTATTTAGTCTGTTTAGAGGTTTTAATAACTGTAAATCATGATTGGTGTTTTATGTGGTTGTGCTTGTTGTTGGATGTACTTTTAATGTACTTTATATGAATTTTAATGACAACCTGTAACAATCTTGTAATTTGGCTTGCTGGGCCAAGATAAGAATGAAATAAACTAAATGAAATAAAATGAAAATGAAAAAGCCGGTTTAAATGGATCCAATCATGTAAGGTTTCCAACATTGCTTCAATAATAAGGCTGCATCAAAATTTCAAGTTTAGAGCCACTGTCCAGGTCTTTACAAGGGCCCAAGCTGGGTGCAGATCCAGCGGTGGCTCTGGAAGTGTGTTCTGCACAAAGCGTCACCTTGGATAACTTTGTGTTGTCTCACCAAGCATCCACATGCCATATATTTGCACTTGCAACGTCGGTTTGTGAGCTCCATTCTGAAATGCTTACTTGTTACTGTTCAGCAGAGACCTGTCACTCAGCCAGCCAAACAGAGGATCGTTCAAGGAATTCCACACCAAGAATATTGTCTGCAAAAAAACGCAAGAATATATCACTAGTTCCATTACACACTTTCACAGTACACGGAAATGTTAAACGCAGAGGTGGCAGCAAGTCAATTTTTTTAAGTCCAAGTCAAGTCACAAGTTACAAAAATAGCGACTCAAGTCCAAGTCACATGATTCAAGTCAGCAACTCTGGTTCAACATGGTGCTGACAAGCAAAAGTACCACTCTGCCTTATATTTGCCAAAATATAAAAGATGCGACTAACACAAACAAGGGAAGTCTGCCTCAAACAATGGCGGTGCGTGTCCAGTGTCTACATAAACCCAGATGTATAAAGCAAGGTGTGTCAAGTGTCAAAAAACTGGAGGCTGAAATGTTCAGAGTTTCAACATTTAACATTGGTTCCATGAACATGAATGGCCCTCAATTCTGAAGTTGTCATGTTTATTATTATCCAGTAACTTGCCACACAAATTTAATTAAACCCCTGCTCTCTTTCCACAAAACTGAATTGGTTGATATCCAATCGCGTATCACACGCGACTGCATTGCGTTATAAGTTGATTTTGTAAGAAATCTTTTTTTGTTTTCCTGTTTTGAAACAATCTTTCACAACCATGATTTAGAAACAAAAGGCGATTGGCGGATGGCAGAAAAATCGACAAGTTGTGCATTCATACCAACCGATCGTACTCTACATCACTACAGAACACCTCTTTCCATGCTTGTTTTTCGTTTTGGTTCTATTTTTACCTCACCGATCCAAAACGACGTTTTGTCGATGTGGTAGACAGACACAAAGACATCTACGTGATACAGGAGGAACACATTATGCAGGATGGACAGAAACAGTGCCATGGAGCCATAGCAGACGCCGATGCGTGCCTCCGACACCATGGCGGCACCACGCAGTTTAAAAACTCCCGTCCGTACCTCAGTGCTATGCTATGCTGCCATGGTCACAGAACACTGCATCGCTACCTCCTGTAAACAAACCCCGCAAAAAGGGCAGGAGTAAAGGGCTGAGATGATGCAGAGACAAGAATTACCATCCTCTCAAAATTAGAGGAACTCCACAGTAGTTCTAGGGGTAAGCCTACGTAGATGGAAATGGGCATAATTCCAGTAGATTTCAGATCAACTGCAACACCATAGTCGTGATTACCCCTAGGCCTACCACCAGAAATGTGGAGTTTGTCATCTGTCGCCCTCCCACGATCAATGCAATGGATCAATCTACAAACATGACAAACTAGATGAGATATGTCAAGAGTTTCATATCCAGCTACCAGCCACCTATCATTACAAATATCCACTCCACCTTGTATTTTCATTGAAACAACTTCCTTCGTATGTTGGGAAAATAGCTAGGGAAAATAGTCAGAGGAAAAGTAGTTTGGGATTATTGTTGGTGTTTATGAACAAATACATCGTGATGTCCGTGTATAGAACTCTTTCTAAAAATGCGTGTTGGAAAAAGCAACCAATTTCAAGCCCCGCCCCCTGTTGACATTATGCATGCGCGTACGACTCAACTTCTACGAGCATTATGGTACGAGAGGCAGAACAGAAGTAGGCCTAGGTGGGATCAGGTCAACTCGGACCCATTCCAACTCGGACCCAGGACCAACTCGGACCCACGCCAACTTGGACCCAATACTAACTTGGATCCACGACCATCTCGGACCCACGCCAACTCGGACCCACCTCGAGTCAACTCGGACCCACTGGGGATAACACCATTAGACACTGTAAAAGGTCAATGTTCGTGACATTGATGTATATCTGCAGTATGTGTTGTATGCATGCAGCATCTCTTATGTACATCAGAAGGGCCTTATCTGTGGCTTTTTACTGCCACCAAAATTTGGGGGGGCTGTTTGGTGAAAGTTCATTTGATTTCTTCTGGTGATCTGGAGTGCCAAAAACACTTCGAAGACAGGGTGTCAATGATTTGGTACTGTCAATCACACTCCAAAAGCTGCTCCCATTGGTTGTCCCAAGCTTCCACTCCCCGATCATAGGGTTTCAAGAATGGAAGGTGACAAAATCAGTCTTTGTGGTTAATCGCACCGGTACCTCGGAAGCTAATAACCGATTAAGATTCCAGATTACAAGCAGCAAATAAGACATCAAAGGAAACGCGCCTTCATAAAAATATGACACTCGTCGGTTACTTATCATTTGTTCCAAGACATCACTGATATCAAATCTAGTCCTGTATGGTTTTCAACCACCATGCCTGTTCAAACTTAAAAACTGAGAAATTCTGGGAAGCCTGTGCCACTGTTTCCCTGCATTACATGTAGAGAGGACGTTACATGCAGTGCAAAAGTGTCATTTACCAAATGCTAAAATCAAAATTTTCAACAAGTTAATCATGCTCCTGGGGTTGGGTCCGAGTTGACTCAGGGTGGGTTAGAGTTGGCATAGGTCCGATTTGGTTTGGGTCCCAGTTGACTCGAAACCGCCTAGGCCTAGGCCTGGTGAAACATGAGCGGCAACCTGCCTGTGTGTTTTATTCCTCCATGCCTGAACCAAAACTGCGCGGATCAGTTCAACCATGGAGGTTTATTCAATCAGAGCATGGAGGTAGAATTGTGATTCTACCTCCATGATCAGAGCATTGCATTTGTACGTACATACCAATAATGATTCATTTCTGAAGTTCCTATCAAGTACATGTACAAACTGCCAGAGGGTTGGATCATGCGTGAATTACTCTCTAATTTTGTCGACCAGCAAAGCTGATGCGTATGATACACAAATATAATTATTCCTAATCGGCGATCCTTACAACCATTGCCATGCCTACAAGAAGATGTTCGAGAATTGTACACGTTTGCGTGAAATATACTGATTCCGGGTAATTTTAGTCTGGCAACCATCAGACTCAACACCTTTTATGGGCGAGGGAAGATCGGGGCAAAGTCAATCGCCAATTCGTCAACAGAATTAAAAACAACGCACCAGGCTGAAGGTAGCCCCGCAATTCAGCCCGCGATTGGGTTCACGTCAATAATAAAAATCCATTGAGTAAAGGGACGCAGTAATTTTCCACTTAGTGGTACTTTCTTCCACGATAAACTGAACGAATTTTTGAATTTCTCTCACAAATTAATAGCATTTTTTAATGATGAAATTAAAAACAAATAATATCCATTGAAGAGAAAGATTGTATAATCAATCTGATTTCATCGCTTGTGGCCAAATGAGCTTTCTTGTATCCTAAAAACGGGATTTCTTTGAGAGACGTTTGACACAGAAATAGGCATTCTATATACTATATAGCCCTTACTGAAATTAAGTGTGGCTAGTGGTCTGCTGATTTGAGTCATGCAAAGAAAATGGAAATATTTCTTAACATGGAGGGTACATTTTCGCTTGAAATCTAAACATGTAGGGTACATTTTCGCTTGAAATAATATGTGATTATAAATTGTCTAAAATGCGCATCGTTACTATTCTGAAATCGGGACATCTTTGAGAGGCGTTTTGACACAGAAAACGCCCATGTATGTTGCCCTAGGCTTGCTAAAAAAATTACGATGGGGGCTGAAGCAATGGGAATAATATAACGTATTAATTACCTTTTTTGGTAAACATTTTCTCAAATCAAGTCACAACAATGGAATAGTCTCTGTTAAATATCCTAGATTGGAAATAACCTACAGCATGTCTCCCAAATAAAAGAAATGAAACTGACCTATAAGCGATGAAATCAGATTGATTATACAACCTTTCCCTTCAATGAGTGTTATTTTTTTAAATTTCATCGTGAAAAAAATGCTATTTGTGAGAGAAATTTAAAAATTCGTTCAGTTTATCTCGGAGTACCACTAAGTGGAAAAATTACTGTCTCCCTTTACGTCATGGATTTTTGTTATTGACGTAAACATCGATCGCGGGTTGAATCGCGGGCTACCTTCAGCCAGGTTTAAAAAGCCAGCCACTTTAAAGCAATTATCAGTGTCCTTGAAGAGACCAGATCCTCTTTATTAGTCCCTTCCTATCTCCATGAAGAGACTCATAAAAAGATGTTCAAATGCTGAAAATTTCGGACTGAAGATGAAATCAGGAAAAACAAATCAACTGAAAAAGAGAGAAAGCACCCTAGCCATAACACAAGGTTTTCAATATTCATTACCTTTCAATTTTTCACTACTCCCTTTGCAGAATGTAATTTTTGCAGGTTTCAGTTGCCCCATCAGATCCTGTAAACTATCTAAGTTGTCGTTATATTAATCAATTATCACTTTGATATTACTTTCTTTGCTGGATTCACTACATTTCTGGAAGAAGCCTCTTTTCTGCAATCGACTCTGCGAGGTTTTCAAGTAAGGGCAGATTCGGGGCACAAGTCTCCCCCCCCCATGGAGCCCCCCAAAATAAGAGGAAAAAATTAATAAGAATCTTTAAAATGAAAGACAGGCGATATTTGTCAGAGTTAATTTCTCTTTATTTCCAAAAGCGTGTAAAAAGTATAGCCTCCCCCCGAAAGGCCATAAAAGATTATATGCAAAACATTTCAAAAAGTTTTTGCCCACCCAAGAAAAAACATCTTTAGCCCCGAAAATTTGGTTCTATGGATCTGCCCTTGTTTAAAAAAAAAAATTTGGTACCCCGACCCACAATCGATAGTAAAGAAACTGCTCTTTTAAAACAGTCGCTCGCCCTTGCCACATGTAATATATGTAGTCTTAGCACAAGACGTTGGTGATCGAAAACGATCACTACATTTTGTTTGCGCAAGTGGTTTTTCGGGGGGGTCATTTTGTTGTTTTCGTTCTTACACCATGCCAAAGATCCTATAGTGCTGCGCAGAGCTATAGGATCTTTGACCATACCCACACACACTAACGTCCTTGGAATCTTGCAAGGGGGTACCATTTTATGTAAATTGGACTGTTGGTTGTATGGTTGTAGACAATAATATCTTCAAACACAAATGGATGCTATTCAATTATTCAAGTCAATAACCGTCTTTCCTGTCATCCTCATTAATGTATATGTAACTACTTAATATTCTTTTCATTATCATCACATTAAAGTACTTTTTGATGACTTGAATGACTCCATTTACCAAATAATCGATTTTTCAAAGGCATATTCACATTTTGGGGTGACCGTAAGGCCGAAGATTGATTTATTTTGCCTTGAAATGAGGCTAAGAGCCAGCGTCATCAACAAACAATATATAGCTGGTTTCCAATGCTTACCCTGAATCTTTTTTTAAGTGGTGAAGGACACCAGCGAAACCAAACTTTCCTCGTCATTGCATCCATTTTGCATCGCAATCATCTTCAAGCAAGTTAGTCTCAAACGTATCGGCGAAAAGGCGCCAGAAATTTCTGCACGGTAAACATGGCAGAAGGACTGCGGTTCTTAGCGCAAATGTCGGACGAGAATGCCCACTTGTTGACGCAGGAAAGCACAAATTTGGATTCCGGACAGGATGAACAAGCAATGATGAAAGTAACGCCAACCACCGACCACGATTACCTGGAAGGTGCCGGTGGAAAACAGCAGCATGAGCCGCGGCTGGACATCGTCAATGTAATGACCACGCCGGCAGTGCCCGTTGGCCCAACAGTTGCTGTGTCTTCGTCTCCGCTGACACCGCTTCAAAACCAGCCCAAAGACGCGAACGATGTGGCAGATGTCAAACTGGATAAGCCCTGGAACAAGATAGGAACCTGGACCAGCACTTACAAGGGCTGCTTCACGACAAACGAAGAGCTGGAGCAAGTTATTAAGTTGTACACGGAAGGAACCGACAGCCGGTGGGTGGTGAGCTCAAAGGATAGACTCTTTGGATCAACTGGTAAGAAAGTGGAATCCGCTTTCTCGTGGTCGGAGGTTGTTCCATCTGTTTTCCTCCATGCCCTGTTGCACTCACGTCTGGACAACGGGCAACTCTCCATTCACTTTGTAGGCTACAGGGATTAGCAGGTTTTCCTCATTTTGTGCTGTAACATGATAAAGTAACTGAAACCTTTTTCGGTGTGGTGTGGGAGATATTCATAGGGCATATATGAAATTTCTAGCTTGATGTAAATTAGGTTAAGAGCTTAGTCAATAATTGTGCACTTCAGAAAAAGAAATCAAGCCAAAATAGACTTTCACTGGCACTGTGGACTTTGTAAGGGTAGATGTGAATGCAAGATTTGTGAATGGGAATTCTTGGGGTAAAAATATTGCTCTTGCAAGGCACCAGAGGCGGAAAATCAAAGTATGTCATGTTTGGATACATCAACAATTGGGTTCAGACTTAAACAACTGGAGGGAAAGTGTTTAACACAACTCTTCCTGAAAGCACTCCTCCGTTGTCCCACACAGACATCAAGCTCAGTAGGTTCAAGTTGTTCTGGAGGGCCAGGGGTCAGGAGGATGACCGAAAGGCAGCTTTCCCCGATTACGATGGCATTCCTTTCATCATGGTCGGCCGTAAGTTCTGGGGTTGTCACCTGGGACGAGACAAGTGTCGCTCGGGAAAGATCAAGTATCGCACGAAAATGCAAGAAAAGAGCCAGGTATGGTAGCAATGACATGCTCTAAGCACATCTATTTTTAAGCTACTTTCCAACTGCTAAAAAGAAAAAACCTTCAGTTTTGCATTTCATTTCCTTCAGGACAGGACGAAACTATCATTTCATTTATTCCTTTTCTTTTTTCTTATTTTACAACTGACACACTTACGCTCTTTCGTGATTTTTGTTAATAATGTTGTTAAACCATGAAACAATTTAAAAGTGAAACAAAAACAACAACTTTGGTTTGTTGAAGTTATTAAAGAGACAGAAAGTATAACCACTAAGCAAACAGTGTTCAAACAGTTAATTTATATCCATCATATTTCCTCAAAATGTGAAAAGTGATTGGGAATGTTATTAACCTGGCTTTGTTTTGTACTTTTTACATAGTAGAAGTGTCCAGCCGTATCAAACTGTTTCACTGACAGACCGTTGCACATTTTGTAGATTGTGAGATTACGTTTGTGGAGGATATTTATTTTTTTTACTGATATTCTCCTGTAGATTGATCTGACGACCAAAATTAAGATCCTTTACGGCAGGGCCAGCCTGTGTTTGCATGCAGGGGTATGCTCATGTTTGACCAATAGGGTGTCGCGACTTGCCAAAGTGCCCGCACCCAAGTTTAGAACCCATGCAGGAGTGTGTGGCCCTGCATTGATGGCCGTCTCCTTAGAACCTCTGTACACAAGGTGCTTAATTTGCATAGTTTTGAACAAACTCTCATTTCTGAATCTGTAGGAGAGCGAATCGAGCAATTGGCCCATCACCCGGTCCTCCAAGAAACTTGGCTGTCCAGCCGTCATCAGCACCGTTCACGTCTTGAAGTTCCACGAGTATCCAGTAAATTGAGGATTTGGTTGTTTATTAGTGAAATGTTGCTGTTGCAAGTCATTCACATACAAACTTTACAGCTTGCTGTGTCTTTTTTTTACTATAAAGAGAGGAAAAATGTATACTCGAGGTCATGCTGTAAATTTTGGGCTTCATTTTTTCATGTCCCTGTCACACCTAACATATGATTTGGTAAGTTCAGAGCACTTTCTTTAAATTCTGAGAGTGATTAAGTGATTCAAAACACCTGCCAGACAAATAGTAATTGTTTGAAGTCAATTTCAATGATGTTTCCATGGCAAATTACACAGGTCAGGTGTAACAGGGACACAAAAATGTCACATCTTTGGACCACAAATTTATAAAAATTTTGATGGGCAAATTATTATTTTCAAACTGTTATTTTCAAATTACCAGTTTTATGAATAAATTCTGCAGTTGAAAGCATTGCACAAAACGATTGTACCAACCAAACTTACCTCAGCATCTGTTTAGAGAAGACGGCAGTCAAGATTTCAACAAGGTTTTGAGCATTTGTTCTTGTTTTCCAACTTGCCCATTGAGCAGATCTCGCAATCGATGACCGAGTTCCGCCGCAAACAGTTGCTGAAGCGACTTAGGCAGTCGCTCTTGTCCAAGCACAGCATCGTCAAGGCGGAGCAGCGGTTCTACGTTCACCTGGCCCAGCCCGACGAGCACCTCCACGACCGCGTCAGCTCGAAAGGATTGCAGGTACGATGATTTTTCCCATTGGCTTTGTGCACGTTGACTGAGGGCACTGTGCAACCAAGGCTGTCAGGGCTGAAGTGGGGAGCCCATTCATTTTTTCAAGGGCGCACGCCGGCTACACGTGTACACACCCATTGATTGCAAGGTGTCCATGTGAGAAGTGCCGTTTTAATTCTTAGCTGGAGGAAATCACAAAGGCAACTTATACTCTGTTTCATTGAATTACAGATACTGAAAAATTGCCACAGCTAAGGAGATGGCATTTTCAAAAATCTACTAATTTCATAAGTTTGAGTTCATTTTACAGGCGGGTTTTTGTAATTTCAAGTTTGTTGGTTCAGGATTGGAGATGTCTATGCTCTGCACATTTTCACGGGAGGGCAAAAAACTGATATAACCTGCCAAATTCTGTGTTTCCCATCAGGATGGCGCGTGCTATGCTATGTCCGGCAAGGTCGAGCGGAGTTTCGTCTACAGAATCACTGAGCTGCACCATGCTGGCATGTTCAGATTATGTGAAGTCAGTCGCATGCTGGATTCCTATCGCAAAGAGCTGTACAAAGGTGAGAGAGACCGTTTCTTGGGGATAAAAATGGGAGGGGGAAAAGTGATGGCCTCAACATATTCAGAGTGAGATAAGATGTGGTAGGATTATTCTTAGGGTTGTGCTGGACATCCGCATATTCGATCGATTATCGAATATTTGAATATTATTTTCTGAAGTTGAATTTTCGAATACCAAATTCATTAAAAGAAGGGAGAATTTTCTTCCGTTAATGAGAAAAATTGCACTCTGGAGGCTTGTTTCAAGCCGATTCAAATGAAAAGCAACAGAAATCTTGCAATTCAATAAGTAAATAATTCATTGAAAAATTTAATTGTTCATCTCTTGAATCTTGCAAAATTGTGGCTGGAGATACTCCTGGACGTGAGAAGCCATTACATGTATAGTGATTATAATGTACAATTGTGAGCGCCATAGCAACTGATTTTGTATATTATGTATGTATGATTTTGTAGTTTAATCATCAACAATCTCCCAATCGGTAAAACCGAATATCCCGATATTTGATCAAATTGAAGTTCAAATATTGGAATAGTGACTTATTTGAATTGACTCAGCCCTAATTATCCTAATTTCTGTGAGCAAAAGGAACTATAAAAAGAATTTGATATTTTCCCAATAGCTTTCTGATATTGTTTTTTATTTTGACTGGCAGATGAAGAGCCTCCTTCCCAGGACCTGGTCCCTGAGCTCTACCCCAATCACAACCTCATTCATTATGTCATCTCCCATGCCGTCAAGGTGACGGCCCTGCTGGAGATGGACCTGGGCCACGGCCACCGGCTGGTCAGCGGCTGGCAGGCGGACCACCCTGACGACAGCTGGTACTACCAACCTTTTGCCTCCAGCGGACCCATCCGGCGGGCCAAAAACAAGCAGGACCGCCTGCTGGCGGGCCACTACCCAGACCTGTCACAGACATTCCTCTTCTGCTGCCAGCGTGCCGCCCAGCGCCGCCTGCTGGCCGCCTATGGCACGGTCTGCCTCCTGGACAGCCCCCGGGGCAAGACGCTGATGCCCACTTACTTCCTGCAGGTGCGGACCCACGCTGGCTACCAGCTGGTGGGCACGGTCCTCATGCAGTACTGGAGCAGCCAGGCACTGGTGGACGCTCTGCAGGTTGTGAGAGACTGGAACCCAGACTGGCAGCCCCAGGCCATGCTGGTCGACTTGATCGAAGAGGAAGTTGAAGCCCTTCAGAAGCTCTTTCCAGGTAAAAAAACAGAAGGATGTACTTCTTCAGGGTTTGAATTTAATTTCAAACAATCACTGGACAGCTGGTCCAGATTTACCAGACAGAAATCAGTTGTACAAGACTGTCTCAGTACTTCCTCAGTACTACATAAATACATGTACCAGCATTCTGATTGCCAATCTCTTTCTGTTACATGGGATGAATTGAGGAATGCTGTCTGCTCTAATGGACTTTCAAACAAATTACACCATTATCGGATGTGAATGGGTATTGCTGAAATTATTCATTTTGTGCTTTAACTTTTTTTGGGGGGGGTTTCCCCAGTGTTTTTCCACACTAGCCATAAGATATTAGATTTCTAGACTTGTATGATCAGGGGCTGCACAAGACCGGCATCGAAGTCGCAGGACACTTTCCGGCGGTCTAGTGTGAAATCTGAACGCTGTTGGCAGTCCACAAAGTTCAAGATGTTCCCATTTTTTTTGGACAGAATGCAACTTTTACATCTCCTCCGTTCACCGGGAGCTGGCGTGGCTGGACTACCTGAACGCCGGCGAGGGGGAGGACCGCAGCTCCGACTCCGCCCTCCTGGATTCCCTGGTCTACGCCCGGACCGAGGAGGAACTCAGTGAGGCGCTGACCAAGCTGCGAGAGAGCCCCCTGTGGGCCGAGAACCACCGACTGCGACACTGGATGACCGTCCGATGGCTGCCACACATCAAGGTAGAGGGGGCCAAAAAAATTGAGACACTTATTGTCTGCTTGCTGGCCGTGTAAGTCAGTTAATCCACCGCAAAGTCAGTCCACACTGACAGCACACACAGATGCCGTAGCCAGCTTGAAAAACGATGCCAGCATCGACTCGAGGCTGTGGTTTATTTAGAGACTGTTCGGGCCATAGTGGGCCACCAAAATCCAAACGAAAAGCCGACGATTGCAGGCAAAGACCTCAGGAAGGCAGATGAGAATCACTGAGGATTTCAAGAATCAGAGGTATTTTATTCTCGGGCTTGAGGAAATAATTCAGTAGATCGCCCGAAAACTTGATTTGCTTCCTCAGCAGTTCTTGGGTTTGAGCGATTGTTTATCTCAATAGGTGAAATATATTCCTTGGAAGAAGCAAAACACATGGCTTGACGTGGTGTGGTAAATCAACATTGATGTTTGCTATTTCCTTTTCTCTGTATCTATTGGCTTTTGGCAGATGTGGTCGTACGCCTTCATCAGCAAGGAGATCCTAGTCACCATGTGTGCCAATGAGGGGCTGACCAGACTGCGGGAAGCCCTGATCTATGATTGGCTGGGGTCCGTCCGCAGCCGGACGCTCAGCGAGCTGCTGACCAGCCTGGTCATGGAAGAGATGCCCAAGTTGTACGACAGGTGCGTCCTCGGGTACTCGGGTGGTTGACAGTTGGGCATGTCCTCGTAGTTGGGACTACTGAGGTGTCGGGTAGCACTGCTAGGTTGGTAAGCTTCTAACCGTGCCAAGCTGACGATGAGCAACAAGTTTTAGGGCCAAAATTGTCATTGGAGGAATTTCAAAAGTCTCGGAATACTGAAAAGCAGTTCTGATTTATGAAGAATAAACATTGGCACAATTGACTCGTGTTTGTTGCTGTTCAAGAATAGAGGGAGAAATGGGAGTTTATTAAAAGCTCATGAAGAGGAAAGCAGGTTGCTTCTGATTGTAAAATGTGCCCACTTGTGGGATAAGGATGCTGTAAAAATGACCGTTTGAGATAACGGACAGCGTATCTTAATGAAAGCACTAACTTCAACTACCGTCTGGAGGCTCCCTTCAAACTTCTAGAATGTACATTGTACATGTTAGCACAGTTATTTCCAATTCTATGGGTAAATGTCAGATTTTGTGTCAAGAACTGTGTTTCGTTTTATACAGCTTAACGGCTGTATCTTTATTCACAAAAACAAGGGTTTTCTCGTTGAATCATTTGAAAATGTTCTCTGTGCACACTCAGCTCAGTGCAAAGTCCCTTTTTTCCCCCATTGTCCAACAGCTACTGTGAAGAGAATCAGACGATGGCTACCTCTAACCGCTACCAGTACTGTACCGGCCTGCCGGTCTACATCAGACATCAGCCAGTGCCTGCCCGGGCGCACATCAACGAACTGATCTCGTCGCTACCCTCGATGAAGGTCAACCAGCAGGGGGAAGGGCAGTTCCTGGTCAGGAGGGAGGACAACGACTTTGAGCACAGCGTCTACTTTGGCAGCGAGACCGAGTACCCGTCCTGCGACTGCTGGGCCTGGCTGACGGGCCTGGACATCTGCGAGCACTTCTGCGCCGTCTTCAAGGAGTGCGCTGACTGGCATTGGTGCCAGCTGTCGCCGCTCTACACGGGGAATCTCATCTTCGCGCTGGACTCGGCTATACTGGAGGTCCTGCCGCGTGAGGTGCCACGATGCAGCGGCAGCGGCGGCGGCAGCCACGGCAGCCAAAACAACCCAGTCGAGTATGGGGAATGCGTGCAGGTGTCCATGGACGACTTTGGGGCCCAGGAGGTGCTTGGGATGGAGGCCAGCGAGAGTGAAGGAGAGGAGGACACCGGGAGCCTTGTGGGCTCCACCTGGCAGCTGGACCGCAAACAGACCACCTGCAAGCAGCTGCTGGACCAGCTCAGCCACCTGACGGAGCAGACCAAGGACCCCGAGGACGTGGACTACATGACCAACAACCTTTTGCTGCTGCTCAGACAGATGCAAGGGAAGAGAAACGACGCCAGCCCCACCAGGCAGACTCGTGGCAGGAAGAGACAGCGGAGTGGAAAGGCAAAGTAACCGAGAATGAACGGAGGAACGCTGCATGCCCCGTAGATCTGGCGAATCCTTAAATACTGATGTAGGAAGACGTAATAGTTGCAGCTGACCTCAAAAGACAATTTGGGGAAAAAAAACACTGAAATAAGGCACAAGAAATTCAACAGAAGACACGGAAACCATAACAACTTGTACATGTATCGTGCTCAGTATTGGCCAAACTTGAGTGTTCCACGAGGCAAAGAAGCTCTGTACCTAAATAATGGCAGATCTCCCATCAAGATAAGAAGCGGAGAGAGGAAGTGCACAGTAAATTGTTTTTGTTAGCAAAGTAGGGGTTTTTTGAAGGAGGGATCTTTGGTGAATGCAACACCCTGCATTGTGGCCTTTTATAAGCCATTTGTGACCCGTCACCACACAATGAGCTGAAAAGTCAGAATTTTCAAAAAACCGAGATATTGGTACTTTTTGAATTCAGCAGAAAGAGAGCTTTCCAATGGAATTTACATGGAACACTTAGGGTAGAAGTATAAGGTGACATTGTGGCATTATTCTGGCAGCTTTGCGTCTTTGTTCCCGACATAGTTTCAACATTTCAGACTAGGCACGAATAATACTATCGTCAAAATTGCTGAGAAAATAACATTTTTAAATATGTGATTCTGTGAAATATTTGGAATTAAATAGGAGACGGGTTACTCTTTCCAAATATTACAAGACCCAAAAAATTGACCTCCACTTCAATATGACTTTGAACCCTGAAAATAGGAAAGAGCAAGACGTGACTTTACTCTCATTTTGTCGTGACAGGTTGCATTTTAGGAGAGTATGAATGGGAAAGTATGGCTCACGTCACGTCCAACTTTCATGAAAAAGACAGATCAGTTTGTCCGGTTGATAGGTATAACCAGCAGAAGTTACACTTAAAACAGAGTGTGGGAACGGGACATTCTATGCAGTCTGTTGTCGATGGTCATGTTGCGCTGGTTCTTACACCAGCCTGCCTTTCTCCCTTTGGATATCCTCACGGCAAATTGAGTTGAACTCGCTACCTTGACCTTGGTACTTGACAGGTAGCTTGAAGAGGAAACTTGGGGAGAGGCTTTTGAATTAGAGGGGCACCCATCAAGATGAGTGTTCCCCGAACCAGATGATTCCTTTGACATCTGATTGTTAGAGTTTTGCAGGAACGGCTAGATTCAAGGAAGGGTGTTCACCCACCTCTCTGTAGGGTCAATGACGGCGGCTTCCTTCATCAGCAGGGTGCTGTCATTGGCCACGGTCACAAACGCAAATCACCATTTTCACAGAAACTCATTCTACAAGAAACTATGGTTTCCAATGCTGTACATAGAGGAAAAATATTTATTGACTCAAAAAATGACCAAAAAAATACAGCCTGTACATTTATGTAGAGAGTACCCCCACTCCAAGTGTTTTGTGTTTACAAGAGTCGAGTTGAAACTGGAAGTGCTGTAGTTTGATCAGCCTGTACTAAATCTATGAAATTCTGTAAAAGCCTCAATCTTTATATACTTACAATAATCTTGACAACTCTTCAGGGCTTGCGTAGGTTTTTCCTTTTCTAACAAAGGCCGTAAGTTGTCTATTTTGATGGGTTTCCACAAGTCTTGTTCTTCAGTTTGCAAAAAGAACAGATTTTTAGACAGGACACAGAACAAAGTGTTTGCATCAAAGCAATAGAAATAGTTTCAAATAAAAAAACAAATCCCATGGATTTGTCATCCACGTCAACAGTGTTTCGACAAAAACAAACGACTGGTTTTGACATGAAAACATTCCACCAGCGATAGCGTGCTTTGTTAAAATTCTCTTTGACTGTCAGAGCAGCTGCAGGCAAATCAACTTCAATGTTTTACCTTCAATGCACCACCAAAAAAGTTTGGTCTCTGTTCATTTTGCGAAACAGTTTTTCACGGTTTTCAAGTGCCACTTGATGGAATAGTCCCTTTTAAGAGGTTATCCACTCCATTTTGACAAATACACTGTGTAGAAGCAGTGCTGTACTCGAGACCGTCACTAGACCATGCACAAGACCAGTCACAAGTAACTGTGTGAACAATGACAAAGGAATGCTTTTGTTCCGGTTCATTTGAATAGCTGGTGACTTGAATTCAGACTGGAGGTCTTGTGTGGTCTTGTGAAGGTCTTAAGCAGTCCCAACTACATGTGCAACACTGTATAAAACGTTCTCCAGTGCACATGTAGTTGATTTCCAATAAGCTCACATATGCAGGTGCAAGAAGCTAGTCTTATTCTGGTCAACAGATAGGTCTTCACTTCCAAAGCGTTCACAGGTTACATGTCGTTATATTAGTACTTTATACATAATATGTTCATCAAAATGCAGACTTGCCTCTCGTCTTATTGCATCATTAATGTCTTACAACGAATGTAAATATCTGCCACTGTAAATTTTTCTTAGGGGGGATTTTTAGCTCCAATTATAAATACTGTGCCTTGAAGACACCTGGACCTTTTTTGTACAGTTTTGATTTTGCAGCAATAAAGATCAATTTTGTTATCAAAATCCCTCCTGCTGTGTGTTTCAACGAAATTGTATAGTTTTGAAAGACAACTTCTGGGGTAAGCTGATTTCCATTTCCCCCGGCTAAATTAAGATAACTACCATTAAGGTAAAAAGAATTCCATCAACTTGGGCTTAAACTATACTTAATTTATTTTTTAAATGCATTACTTTCACATCCTCTTGATGCATGTTTCACTGGCCACTTTTAGCCAGTGATCCACTTTGTAAATTCTTTAGTATTATAGAAGCAAGTATAGAAGCAAGTCCCAGAGAACCTTTTTTTTTTTTTTTTCAAATTTTTTTTTTCAATAAAAACCCACAGGGGACAAATACAGATTTCATACGGTCCAAACGAATGGCAAATTTCTAATTAACTCCATTCATATTCAAATGCATGCGACATAAGTTCACCTGGTTCAGACGCCCGACATACAGGGACCAAAATAAAAATTCCTGGCATAGTACTTCTTAAACACACACTGGTCTCTTTCGCTTCACGGACATGATATTAGTTCTGATGCCCGTTGACAAACATCCTCTTGCTTCAAATTCTTATATTCTCAAACTGTTGCTTAAAGTCTTCAAGGTGGGTAAATACGGGTCCTTTTTTTTACAATAAAGATTAGCATATAAGAAAGCGCATGAAAGACGACAAAGCAAAATATACAGAGATGCCTAGTGATGGCATGGGTAGTGTCCACAGACACTGAGAATCTTGCCATAAGAGCTGAAATACACAGCGAGCAAAATGCTGATTACTTACACTGAAGATAACTCTGCCTTTTATAACCTTGATTTGAAGTTGAGCCGACATAGTGATGGCCACCTTGCAATGTTTTGACGACAGAAACAGCAAATTTTAAAACATGCATGTGACCTTTTTGCCCACATTTGTGAAGACTTCTGTCTTTAGCCTGGTATTGATTCACATGCATATAAAGGTAGCATTTTTGCAAAAATATACCTCTTGTCCAGCAAGAGAATATGGCAATACATAAACGGAAACTCTTTAACCTAGATGAAAGTGCACACATAACATAAAAATCATGATACAATAAAATGTCTCTTTTTCTTACACTACACCGACAATATAACATGGATCAATAAACCATAAGTAAAGCCTAGCACATTTAAAAAATATGGTGTACTCTAGTCTTTATCCAAAAAAAATGATAGGGTTTACACACAAGTACTTGTTAGTCAGCTTTAGGCCCAGCTCAGATAGGGCTAATAGATTCCTCTAAAAAAACTCAGGAAAAAATTGTATACACTATTCACATGTCAATTACTGGCTCAGTAATGCCATATTATAATCCCATTCCTAATTGACAGGTTATTTACGTGGGACCTCTCGGGAAAGACACGCCATATTCCTCATATCCAAGCTAGTTCAGTGATAACTATCGCTCTAATCACTCTTTCTCTCTTGCTGATTGTAAGTCATTCAATTCTGTCTGGCCAGTCTATTAGATTGACAAATTGCTTGGGAACAAAAATGAGGGGAAAAAAAACAGAAAAAAGAAGATTCTATTAAACTGTGTCCCAGGCAAACCGCGGGGAACCGTTGACAGATGTATTGCACCAAACCTTGTCGACTGTCTTGTCAATGGTGGTTAGCCATTTCTGAAAATCGGGGGCTGTGGTTGCCAATAAAACAGAAATATATGGAAGCCACTGGCTGGCCAATGCAGTTGTTACCCTTGGAAAAGTAGTACTCCTTGCCACGCCCAGTAAATTTGAGCTCTCTCGATCTGTCAGAATGGGAAACGGATGACCAGTGTACAATCAACTCAAAGACCCCTAGCGCAGCGCCAACTCGGAGAATTTAGCCGGACAGAATCACCAGATCAAAGCGAGTGATAAACTTGCCATGATGCATATCAACCAAGACAACTCTGACAAGTTGACAATATTGCAAGTACCCAGTTGGGGGGGGGGAAGGTTGGATCTAAAATGTGAAACTGGCAATCCTTACGGTTAGGACCCTGCTTCAGTATAGCATATGTCAGAACTATCAAGAACTTCACATCCTCTGCCGACCTCCTCCTCCAAAAGACTCTTCAGTTCTTCACTAGTGCACAAGGCAGATGACTCCCTGAGACTGAAAGGTATTGCTGGGCTGATACACACCTTGTAGGAGGCTCTGACATTGGTTGCCACTAGCCTACAAGGGCTGGCTGCACGTAACTGGTTACCATTGCGTGCATTTATTGCATCACAGAGTCAGGGATGTTGTACAGTCACAGCTCCAATAAAGGTTGCCTAAACCTGGGGAATTTTAGCACAGGCGTTAAGTGCACAACCAATTACTAAATATTAAACTATTTCAACAGCAATATTAAATTATTTCATACCTTCAAACTATTTGACTCAAAGGAAGTTAAGGACCACTTTTTTCTTGTAATCTTTTTTCCAAGCAATGAGTGGGGTTTAGTTCTTTGTCTAGATGGTGTTCTCATTGGAATAAAAAAGTTTGAAATGTTTCTAAACATCAAATGCACATTTTCAGCAGTAAAATATCTCAGATACAAAAAAATACACAAAACAAAAAGAGGTCCTTAACTTTTTGAAGTCGTGTATAATGACCCATATAATTTTTAACCCTTATATTTGATCGTCGTATTTTGCTGACAATTAAATAAAAATGATACAATATAGTTACACATACTCATAATTTTGTAATGTTACATTAGTTTATTTATGATCACTTCAGTACCAACATTTAAACCCAACAAACCTAGTTACTTCACACGAGATAAATTTGGCAACTAGTCATTTATTGTTATTACAAGATACAGCTCTTTAAAAAATACTGATACGTGCATAATGCCCTAAAAATCTGCTGAAAGTGTATCAAACATGAGAAACTATCCTCGTTACAAGTATGACCATGTTATGGGAGGGGTAGCATTCAATGAAACAGCCTTATTTGTTCTGGGGCAGCTCCAGTGTACCGATTGGCCGGAATTTTTAGGCCAGCTTGAAATTCCGCCAATCACAGAGCACAACTATCTTGGCAATCATACATGGAGATTCTGCATACATCCTTGGGTTACTTAAGTCGCAGGTCTGTGCCCATGGAGGGCAACATTCTTTCAGGTTGCATAAGGCTTCAAACCGACGACTGGGCTTTGCAAAACTTTCTTTCAGATTCCAGCAGATTTTAGGAAATTACTATCCAAAACAGGGAAAGAAAAAGGCATGTTTTTACAACCAAGGCAGGTCAGTGAGCATCATACAGATGGGTTGCCACTGGTACTGGATGGACGACGAGGTATGGGTGGGCGTTGCTTTGGAACAGCGACGCTCTTGATGCGTAGTGACTCGGGCCTCGGTGGTGGCGTGGGCCTGCTGACCGGTTTGGGCTTGTCTTCCTTTTCGGGAGTCGCGGCCGAGTTGTTGGCGTTGAACTTGACCCTAGGCACTGGCGGTCGGCTGGTTGGCGGACGGAGTGCCACACTGCCTGGATTGGCAGGCTCCGTCGTGTTCTGTGTTGATGCCGAGGGCAAGGAGGGTGGCTTGGGGAGGACAGGCTTTCGAACCAGTCCTGGGGGAGGCCTGGGCGGGGCACTTGGGGGCTTCATGGGAGGAGCGGGAGGGGGAGCAGGGGGGCTGGTGACAGGTGGCGCAGGGGGTTTAGTGGGTGCCTTCCGCACAGGGTTCGGGTGTTTCACCTCGGCAGGGGTGGAGGGGACTGGGGGAGGCGGATTGGCAGGCTTCCTCTTGGACGACTCCTGCCTGACAACGCTGACGTAGGAGGGCGGGGCGTTGTCCGGCCTCTGGGGCGGCAGTGGGGGAGGCCGCACTGGCTCCGTCGTGGGCTTGTAGACTACACTGGGATCACGGGACGCTGAGTAAGTGTTCACGACAATGTCCGGCCTGGGTGTTGGGTTCCGGGCAGGGTGACCGTTGGTGACATCAGCACGAGTTGAAGTGCTCTCCGGGACACTCTTGAACCTGGAGGAACAAAGAGACGATTACCAGGGATGCTTACATTTTGTACTTGTACAGTGGAACGTTGCTATACTGAAGACCGCTATACCGAAGACTGCTATACCAAACACCGCTATACCGAACGTTCAGCTGTACCGAACATCGTCCTTGGCTCCCAATATTTTGTGCACAAAACCTAAAGAACATTATGCAGCTGCAAATCAACCGAGATTCACCACAGCATGCATCAGAGATCGATCCTGAGTGGTAGCTACACGCCTTTTATGATAAACTAAATATCAGTTTTGTAACTCAAGATTTAATAAAACACAAAAACAATTAATAGATACATTTCTAGAAACCTCAAACGTGAATGCAATGGCAAAACATCAGGAAAACAGCAAATCATAGTAATACAAGAGGGTGCACTTCAGATTGACAAGAGAGGGCGCTATTCAACATGGCAGCGAAATGTTCGGCAGTTAATTGTGATATACCGAACGACCACTGTACTGAACATTTAGCGTGGACCCCGTTGTGTTCGTTATAGCGGCGTTCCACAGTAACAACTATGCAATTTCCATGGCGTTACCAAACCGAACTAGCAGAAATCACTTGCATCACACACATGCTACATGCATGAGAAGCCAAAACCATCAAACAGCTTGGTGCAGGAATTTGCCAAAAAACAGCCGAACAAACAATAAAAACAAAAGCAAAACACAGAAAAACATCCCATGCCAAATTTCATGAACGCTGGCTAGTGAAAACTGGTTCTTCAGCTGCTGTGGTAATCATGCACTTTCCGAGCAAATAATCGCCACATAGAATCTCAAGGAAACAGGAAGGAGTGTTTGGTCCGCTCTGTTTCCCACAAACTGCATCTATGCTTAGAGTAGCTCTTGATTTCACTCCGCCGGACTCAGTTTACACCACAAGTGAGTTGAGCCCACATACCCTGCAAGGCCCCGGGTTCAATTGCGGCAACAGCTTCCACCAAAGCCTTGACTATTCGCTGCATCATCTTGGAATCCGTAACCCAAGAATGTGGTGTGAGAACCCTCATTGGAATGTTAGTAAGCTGAGTTAAATGGCCTGGGTCAACCTTGGCCCCTTGTTCCCGTTGAGACTAGACAGCATAATTTCCCAAGCAAAACAGATTCATTGCTGGTGGAATGTTTCCCAAGCTCTGTGATTAATGGTCTGACAAATAAGACAAACAGTTCTGGGTAAATTTCTTTAACTTTCAGGTCAAAGGTTTAGGTATTAAAAAAACCAGTTTAAAATGTCAGTCAACCAACACTCAAGTTCCAAAATTCAATTTCCACTTCACTCTTGATTTAAAAAATTATGATACTTCTTGGCAGTGGTTTGGCAAAAACAGGTGGGGAGACCCTTTACTTCATAATATGTCAACATGAAGTCCAGTTAAACATAGAACTGAATTCCAGCTGGCATTACAAATTCATGCATTTTGCGATGCCATGCACTTTCTTCTAGTAGATTGATTTCTGTGGAGATGTTCACTTTTGTTGTTGATTGGTTTTGACTGCAATACACACGACAGCTTTAAGAATGGGGCCTTCCAAGACAGGAGTTGCCACTTAAGTTTTTGTACAGTGAGTTTCAATTTGTTTTTGAAACGTTCACTATAGAAACGGCTGCAAATCAGTAAACGTAATACACACAGTGATCATAACGGCAGCTGTTAAACCAACTGAGCAGTATTTACGTCCAACATAAAAATGTCCTTCATTCTGGTATGAGGTGTAGCGCATCTTTTTTTGCAGCACAAAGCAAACTTAAAAATGCTCTGGCACAATTTCAACTTTTTGAGAGGGAGGGAGGCGCCGTCTAACGCTAAATGAAAACAACATGAATCTGAAATTTGGTGTTTATAGTTCCCATGGAGTTTCTAATTATGGTTGCTCTCATCTTTTCAACTGTGCCCATATAAAAATTACAAAAAAAAAAAGCCAGCATTCGGCATTCAATACATTTGCATGTGCAATCATGCGTCCTCCCCCCCTTAGGGATGGCAGAGCAGTGAAGCGGCAAGGGGAGGGGTGTTTGAAAGAGACAACATGAGAGGGAACAAAGGAGGCATGACGGGATGCGTGGGGCGGCGGAAAGAGGGTGTGGCACCCGGCAAGATAGCCAATGGATGATGCACAGTGATGGTAGGACCGCCTTCCAACTTACCCTTGCCTACTGGGGCGTTTGATGTCGTGCTTGTACATGGGCCGTTGCAGGTGCGACGCAACTGGCGGGACGCTACTGAATCAAAACAGATATTTCTTTCTTTGCCTTTCTGGGTTTTTTTTTTCCAAGTTAAAAAGACATCCTGACAACTGGCAGGTCAAAAAGCAAAATCTCACGTAAAAGAAATGCATTTTTTCGTGAACTTTAAGACTGGTAAAAGGGGCTTATTTCTGTGCAGCGAATCCCAGAAGGATTGCACCCAGCATGCACCCGAAAACAGGCCGAGTTGGGTATGTTTAGCTTGTAAATCACCGCAAGTCTCATTAGGAGCTGAGAACTCCCCGCACAAGGCCAAAGTCATGAACAATTGGGCCACCACCCAACTTCAGGCCACTACCCTCTTTAGCAATATCTCAACAAATACAATAGAATGGTCGCTGAACAGAACAGAACATAACAAAACACGGAATCGTCCCCCCCTTTGGAAACCGTCAGAGTGAACAACGTCATAGATGGGGACAGGACATACATCTTGACCTGCGGGAGGGAGGTCGGTTTGGAGAGAAGAACAAAGCCAACGCGAAGGTCATTTTTCAGGCAGAGGGTAAAAGAGGACGGGAGGTGACCAACACGGACACCGACATACCTCTTCTTGCAGAGTATCTGTTGCAGTTTCTGCCTCTTGATGAATGCCGCTATTCCGCCAGAGACAAGCCCGGGGACGACCACCAAGAACACGACGAGCAGTGCCACCATCGTGTTGTTGTACGCCTCAACCTCTGTCAAAGTTAAGAGAAAAAAAGAAGGAAAACAGCACATTCATCCTAGTTAATTACATCAAGACAAGTTGACCGAGAGCACCAGGATGAAGCTATTATCAAACTAGTCTTCTTGTTTGTATCTCTAAGTGCATGCAAGTCAAATCCTGTGCAGTATTCTTGCACTGCGGAGCGTATTTGATAACATAAAGCTGAAATAATTGCTGGTGATGTTCACAGTTTCAATTCCAATTCCAGAAATTGCTGCTAAATGACCAGCCCAATCTCAGAGACTACGGCCCTGTCCGAAAATCTATTGTCGAGGCCTCTCCACGCATTGACAATGGAGCGAAGACCTAGACCCACACGTAGCTCTCGACGAGAGACTCGGGTGCAGCGTAACGCTCATGTTGACAAATTAAACCCACGCACTTTGTGTCCCAGGAACAATACAATTCTGAGACAAAATAGCCCGACAAAACCTGACAAAAACCCATTCGCTCCCAACAACACGGCAATCGAACTCTGATTAGACGGCGGAAGGTCTTCTCTTTTCATTAAAATCCAGTAACCATATTCAATTACAAGAGAGGAAAAAACAGGATGAGTTTGTATACTATGTGTTGTTAAGTAAACTCAAATTATGCAACACTTTTGCTACCGTTTATTTGTAACTCTCTGGTTTTAGGTACACTTTGAAGATAATATTTCCTTTTTTCAAAAAGCAACAAAGAGGAGCACAAGTACATCAATAAAATATGTGTTGCAGCCACAGTCATGGTGTTAAAAAGGGACAAAGATTGATAGCACAGACTCCTCGGTAAATACAAAGAAAGTTTAGATGTTCGAATATCTGTCAAACTCCCTGCTGGCCTCCCAACTGCAAGCACTGATTTTTTTTGGGGGGGGGGTGGTGCTGGGTATCAGCGAGTCTTTACCATGAAATTGGGCCCCAAAAGGGCAAGAGCTATAGCTATGACGGCAAGGTAGAACGGCTCTCTGCTTCAACAGCAACATATACCCACTGGATCAGTACTCATACCAAAGAGGGCGCCAAACAGTCTGAGCCGCGACAGCCCAGGGTTTGGCAGTCACATTTTGCTGCTCTGTGTGCACAGGTTTCCCAACTCCCTCAGAAGTTTTTTGCCCAAGACTTGGGTAAGATCTTCACAAAAACAATTTTTCAAGAATTCCTTACACTGGCATTTGACAATTGGCATTCAAGAATGTCCTTGTGCTCAAATATTTTGGATTAGGATTAAAGGATGAATCAGAAAGTTAAAAGTAAATGATAAAGGTCACTGCAAGAAGACTGGCGGATAGAGACAGATGGCTTGGAAATGCCGAGTCGCTTGCACTTGCGGCCAGTTCGGACCTCACGCAATTGCAGTGAAAAGTGACGCTACAAAAAGTGTCTGGTGAAATCTGATCAAGCTGATATGGGATCACCATCTACAAATTTGCAAGCACAAAAAATTACACTCTCGTTTGTTTTTGCAGCGAGTAAGGCTTTTAACCACTTCATGCTGGGGCATTTTTCAATGTTGATGATGCTGGGCCGGCATGAC